CTTTACGAGCACTGGGTTGGAAACTCAACTTGGGTATTGGACCTCTCTAAAAAAGTCTGTTGCGAGAAGCTTCCTGACCTCCTCATCTACTACCCTCCACCGCTCCGGGGTGAGGTTCCTCTTCCTCTACTAGATTGGTTTGACTAAAGGGTCGAAATTCAACCTATGAGTTATGAAAGAGAGCTCTATCTCGGGCATTTCTACTACCAACCAAGCAAAAATATCTAAATTGTTAAGTAAAAAACTTACTAGCTCAAAACGTAGTGGTTCTGTGAGGCGAGCTCTGATCTGCATTGTCTTCTCGAGCTTGGTGTCTGAGGTTGGTACCAAGACGGTGTCCTCCATGGGGCAAGCTCGTTCGTCAGTGTTCTCTAGGGGCGGTTCCAGGTTGACGTCGTTGGCTAGGTTCCCTTTGCCCTTCAGCACATCCACATAGCACTTGTGAGACTATAGTTGGTCACCTCACACCACCCCTACTCCGTAGTTTGTCGAGAACTTCATCGACAAGTAGTAGGTTGACACTATTGCGTAGAGTGCATGCGGGATAGGTCAACCCAAAATGGCTTTGTAGGGGGATGGGGTCGCGACCACTAGAAAGTCATGCTCGAAGCGGACTGAGTTTGGCGTCGAGCCTATTGTCACTGGCACTCTGATCTGGCCTAGGGGCCGCACCACTTCTCCACTAAAGTCGACAAGGGAGACGTCGGCCGATTGCAAGCTCTTCCTCTTGAGTTGCATCCACTCGAACACCTCTAGAAATATGATTTCGTTCGAGCTTCTGGAGTCGACCAGAATTCACTTTACCTTGAAGTTGCTCATGATCAATTTGACTATGAGGGCATCATCATGTGGATACTGGATTCCACGAGTGTCATCCTCAGTGAAGTACATTACCTCCTCCACACGGTGGTGCTTCGGTGGGTTCTTGTCCTCGTGCTTGAATTCCTAGACCAAGTTTTTCCCTGCTACTATACTTCACCTTGCCATGATGGATCCGCTCGTGATCATGTTGATCACTCCACGAATGGGACGCTTTGGTACTGGTGGATCCTGAGGTGGCTAGTCACTATTTTGATTCTCGCTTGACTCTAACACTTATCTTGGCTAGTCGATAGGTCAGCTCTAGTCATCTAGCTTGACAAACTACTTCAGATAGCCTCGATGGATCAGTTCTTCAATCTCGTCCTTGAGGTTGTGGCAGTTCTCCATATCATGGTCGATGTCACGGTGGAAGTGGCAGTAGTTGTTGGGGTTTCTATTGGCTAGGTTGCCTCTCATCCTAGATGGCCACTTGATGTACTCGATCGTCTTGGTCTACAATAGGATTTCCCCTCTCTTTACATTGAGGGTGATGTAGCTTCTGTTTTGGATGAGAGGAGTCCTCAAATGCGATACTGACGACATGTTGCTCCTGTATGGAGACTTGCTTCTTCTTCGGGGTGACCTGCTACGTCTATTACGGGAGGACCTATTCTTCTGCCTATGCTTGTTGCTCCCTGCCTCTTCCTTTGTTCTTTTCCTCTTCCCACTCATCTCTAACTAGAATCTGAGCRCCTCTTCAGCCTTAGTAAACTTGTTGGCCTGATGGAGGAACTCCTTCATAGAAGATATAGGGTTCAACTCGACCTCCTAGCATAAGTTAAGGTGTCAGACTCCATTGACCACTGCGGTGAGCTGAACGCGGGTCGAGGTTCAGGATCTATAGGCGCTCCAGGTTGAACCACTTGATGTAGTCCTAGAGCATCTCATCAGGTCGCTGGACCATATTCAAGAGGCAGGTCATTGAATTCGGGTATCTCTTTCTTGTGGCAAAATGCGTTGTGAACATGTTGGCAAACTGGTTCCAACTCTTGGTGGAGCCTATAGCCAGCCCTGAATACCACATCCGTGTTGTGCCCCAGAAAGTGGTCGGGAAGGCCATGCAAAGGCTCGCGTCATTCACCACATGTAGTTGCATCCAGGCCTGGAAGCTGTCTAGGTGGGTGACTGGGTTAGTGGTCCCGTTGTAGGACTCTAGGCTCGGGGCTTTAAAGTACTTAGGTTGTGGGGCCATAAGGATCTCTGGTGCTAGTGGGGAGGTGCGAGTCGCTAGTTGTGATACTAGCAGGACAGTGACTTAGCTCACCTCCTCTTTCCTTCCTGCCTCCTTGTTATTGTTGGTGGGAGTGAGGTGGCTTCTTCCTGTGTTGCGGCATGCACGTTGGCGACCCCTTCTCTTCGACACCTCAGTCGAGTTAGTTGCTTCAGTCCTTATTAGTGCATTTGCTTGGCTGAGCTCTTTGACTAGGATCTGGTTTCAGTCATCAGCACGACAAGGAGGATATGGAACCTAGTCATGATTTTGATCACCGGGTTGTTGGTTTTGGTTCTGGTTCATATGCCGCTGCTACTGCTATTGGTTCTGGTTCATATGTCATTGCCGTTGTTGTTGTTGCTGTTCGGCCATTGCTACGAAGCGGTCCTCCCATGTTCTCATCTTTAGGTCTATCCCACGGACGAATTGCATCGACTTGTTGAACTAGTGCGGGTCAATCCTAATAGGAACCACTAGAGGCTCAACTAGAGGGAGAGGTGTGTTAACATTGGGTTGTTGTACATTGGGATTCTGAATGATTGGAATGCCTGGAAAAGTTAGAGGTACAGTAAACTGCTTGATGGTCACAAAGGAGATCTCGGGGTTTATTGCCCCCTGTGACTTGGTTGTTGTTGTTGGCGGGTTGGTTTCTTGAGGATTTCATCGGGCTAGTAGTAGTGAAGTGAGGTGAGAACTTGGCTATTATAGCATTTCCCACAGATGACACCAATTGATGATGTGCGATCTGGGACAAGAAAAGGAGGTCAGAGTGTTCGGGGTGCTTTACCCGGTGTGGGCACTTCAATGCTTAAGTTAGCGAACTAGAGGTTTTTGAGAGAGTTGAAAGCAAGATTGCTAGAGTATTGAGAGAGTTGAATCACGCGTACCTTGTGAGGTTGGAGGCGAGGCCTTTATATAGGTGAGCTGTCATGGGCCTCACGATGCATGTCCAAGATCCTCGGCCCATTTGGTCCGAAGTTGGTTTCGTTCCCAAAGGGACTGCGCATAAGATGATAAGGCTTATCCAGGTCCATCCTACTCGGACAAGGAGAAGATGAACTCCGTTGACGTAATGTCGTGATTCCAATGAGATCAGAGACAGTTGGCTTGCTTCTATATAGAGGTTATGTGGCATCTCGGTAGATCGGTGCATATAGTTGAGCTATTCGAGCCTCGGTCTAGCTGGGTGACCCGAGGTGCGTGAAGTAGCTAGGGTCGCTAAGGTCACCAAGGTCGCTGAGGTGTCACCTCATCGTTCTGTCATTCCATGTGTCACTACATCATTTAACATACCAAATTATCCCTCATCAATTATCAATTTCAGATAATACTAATATTTAATTAATTGTATATAATAATAAATTACTATTTAAAAATTAAAACCTGATTTTTCAATAATTATTGATATGAATAAATTAATTTTCAAAAAACTATATATTCTAGTTTATTTTCAAAAAACGTAGCAGAGTTGCTGGTCACTGATATATCATCCACATAGCAGAGTTGCTAGTCTCAGATAATTTTCACCTGCAAATAAGAGGCTGGTTCTTCATCAATGCTAGGACGTCTTGTACCATCCATAGTGCGAAAGTATTCTTGTAAGACAATAACCACATGGCAACTAATAAATTCTCTTCCAAAGGGAACATGATAGCTCCGATAGCCTTTGTGTGAGGAACTATATCCAAGGAATATGCATTGTAGAGACCGAAAGTTTAACTTGTGACGTGCATAAGGTCGAAGATAGGGATAACAAGCACATCCGAATGTGCAAAGTAAGGAGTAATTAGGATGGCGTCCAAACAATTTAAACATAAGTGTCATACCACAGAAAGCTGTACTCGGTAAACAATTGATCATGGAAACAACCGTAGAGACTGCATCGGCTCACAAATTCTGAGGCAAACAAGACTTGGCCAAAAGTTCTAATGCAGATTCAATAACATGACAGTGGCATCTCTCTACCACACCATTCTGTTCATGAGTGTGGAAACAAATCTTTGGATGAATTATGCCTTGAGAGTCAAGATAAGTAGATAGAGATCAAAACTCTCCACCCCAATCAGTTTGCATCATCTTGATCTTAGTAGAGAACAACATCTCAACATGCCGTTGGAAAGAGATAAACACATTCATCGCATCAGACTTTTGAGTGATAGGATAAACCCATGAAAATTTTCTATAATCATCAATGAATATAACATAATATTGAAAACCTTGAATAGAAAGCACTGGTGTCACAAGTGACCACTTTTTCGTGCCATCAAGTGCCATCACCACGCCCACAACATGCCATCCGAGTGTCCAAGTGTGTGTCTTGGGTGGGGTATTGCATGTATTTTGTATAGGGGATTGTTAATGGCATTATTGTAATTCCATAGTATGATTTTTCCCTATTTTGATATTTCTTTATGACACTCCCCAAAAACTTAATGTACTCTTTGAGAGGGGTATGTAGTCGAGTGAATCAGGAGCACGTAAAGGTTAAGCACGAGATCCCCTCGACACTAAATTGTATACTTGTGCTTGCCATCCATTAATGCAATACAAATAGCCTTTTGACTAATTCGTGTGCTATCTTCTTGCCTTTTATTGTGTTGTTGCTTGTTGTTTAGACTTACTCGTCGCATTCGAGTGCCGCACGGGGCCCGAACAAATAGCCCCGTGACACTGGGGCAAGTCCCCAAACATTTGAATAAATTAACCCAAGAGGTTCATCAACTGAAACATGAGTAGAATTAAATGGCTGTTGATAGCTCTTGGCCATCCGACATGACTCACAAATACAACTACTATTACTACTAGAGTGCTACCGAATAGGTAAATTATATTGACTAACAATACTTTGAACTAACTTAAGAGAAGCATGACCCATGTGTTCATGCCAACCTTGTAGACTAGTCTTCTCACCAATAAGGGCTAAAACTTAGTTCAGCTTATTGAGTCCTACTCTTACTGCAACGACAGTTGGCATCTGATAGAGGCCCCCACAATTACTGCTGTGGAGCAACACCTTCACCCATTTGTCCTTGATCAAGAAGTAATCCTTGTGAAATTCAAACACAACATCATTGTTAAATTTACTCACTGATAAAAGATTTTTGGTAATGTGAGGGACATGACAGATATTATTCATATTATGACCATTGAACTGAAAACGAGTAGATCCAATATGCTGTATAGGAAGAGAATTACCGTTGCCAATCTTGACTTGCTCATTACCCATATAATCAACCTTGCTTTGCATGTTGTTCATATTAGGGGTGAAGTGATGGGTGGCTTCAAATTCTGGATACCAATTCAGAAGTTCCAACATTATAAGCAGTTGGCTCTAAGGACTGATTATTCACCATGATAAGCAAGATCGAAACGTCTCCTACACTGAAGAGCTCCATGGCCAGGCTTACTGCATACCTGACAAACAATCTTAGGTTGTCTGGACCCACGATCACCATGAGAATTTCCACTACCACGACTACAACCTCTGAAGTTGTATTGATTAGGTTGATTATTATATGAATGCTTGTTTTTAGAGCTTGAATGAGCAACATTAGTAGCTGGTCCATCAACAAGTTGAGCATGTTGCTCAATCCATGCCTCATGATTTAGTAACAGACCCACATGATCATTAAAACTCATGGTTTTAACATCTGGTCCATTGGCAATTGCCATCACCAGTGATTCATACTCATTGCTTAACCCAGATAGTATGTAAAGTATAAGATCAAAATTAGATATGGGCTCTAAAATTGCTGAGAGCTTGTCAGATATGGCCTTTTCCTTTTGTATATAATCAGAAATGGAGAGTGAGCCCTTTTTCAGTGTTTGCAATTGCCTTTTGAGCTGCAATATACGAGCTCTTGACTGAGTTGAAAAAGAATGACTTAAAGCATTCCATACCTCTGCTGCTATTGAATAACATACCACTTGTGCAAGGATTATCAGTCAATGATGATACAAGCCAACTTAGGACTAGTTAATCTGCCTAGAACCAATTCTAGTAATCTGGGTTCAGCTTTTATTCTCTAGGATGCTCAAGGTCTACAATCATCTTTGGTGGAGCTTCCTTTGTTCCATCAAAGTACCTCATTAAATGATGAGTGCGGAGAACTGGAAGAATTTGTGCCTTCCAAAGTAGATAATTATCACTTGTGAGCTTAATGGTGATATGATGGGAGATGTTAGGAAAATGAAAGGCTGGTAAAACTGCTGTTACGCCTGTAATAGTCATGGCTGGTTGATTTGAACTTGAAGCAGCGTTGGAGATGTTGATGGTTGTCTGTAGATCTAATACTATCTAATGGAAAACAATTGAGAGGAAAGAAAACCCAGTGAGTTCGGTGAGTTCTGGGTGCTGCATTTATACTTGTACATGAAGAGTTTTACAAATACAGGGAACCAGAAAGATAAGGGAACTGAGGGAACATAGGCTAAGAAAGTGTGAGGGGATTGAGTTTAAAGTACAACTTTTTAATAATTGTGTATAGTTATCTTCAGATATCTAAGTCTTCTTAGAAGATGACATGGCATGTATATCCTCTATATATAGGGTGAAGGTAAACCCATACWAAACCTGACTTGTGTTTATTTTTCATTATTTTAAAATTAAATCCAAATTAAGTTTAAATTAATAATTTTTACTTTTATGAAATTTTAATTTATTTAATAAATTGTAATTTATGCGTAATTTAAGTTATGATATTATGCTAAGTTTATTATTCCTTAAAATTTTTAATAATGTTAGTATCCTCTAGGCCCCAAATTACTATGTTGATAAAGAGTAAAAGCTTGGCTCGAGCCTAGCTCAACCCGACCCGTGAATAGGTCAAGTAGTAGGTGGTGAAGTTCCTTAACTTAGCTCCATACTGATCCAATAAGTCTGAAACCTCAGAATTCTTGAAGGATAGGGCATTGCCTACTAAAACCCTCATAGGTACCCTGAGCTTGTATATGATGTTCTAGCATATGAAGTTGGCTACATTTGTTGCAATAACTTTCTTAAGTGGTACTAATTCTTCCCATTTTGTAAAGTAATCTGTAGCTACTAGAATCTAGCAATATCCACAAGAAGGGGGTGTGATTTTTCCTATCAAGTCCATACGCTAAGTGTGGAAGGGCCATACTGTGACGATGAGGTTGAGAGGTTGGGCAGGTTTATGTATCAATGGTGCATGGATTTGACACTGTTTGTAGGTTCAAACATGTGCCATGGTGTCATGTAGCATGGTAGGGCAATAGAATCCTAGTTTGATGATGTGGTCACATAGTGCTTGTTGGCCTTGGTGGGTGGCAAGCTCTTGGCTATGTGCTAAAGGTAATGCTTCTTCTTGGACCTCACCTCCTCCAAAGCATCCTAGAGGTTTACCTATGAAAGACCTCTTGAATTGTATTTTATCTACTAGGTGGTATCTCTTAGTTTTTCTTATTAAGGATGTCGCAACTTTGGCACTTGCGAGGAGGGGTCCTTCACTTAAGTAATCTCTATAGGGTTGTCTCCAATTTTCTTCTACTATGTTTAGGCATTCATGTCTATCCACCATTGGTAAGCACTCTGCACAATCTTCTTGTCTCTACTTAGCTTGTGTTTTCATTTCGGGCCAGTAATAACCCAATCTTTACAACTTCTTGTACAGGCTGGTCATCTGGTTTCCATAAACCTATCTATCTACTTCCTTTAGCATTCTTTTACTTTCTTTAAGACCCAAACATCTTGCTGATACTCTATCTACCATCATACAACTTGTTACCTAGGATTTGGAACTTAGTAAGGAAGTGATTATCTTCTATTGAAGTTATTGAAGTTGTGGGGTTTGGCTTTTTTTTTTTTTTTTTTTTTCTGCACTACCTTGTATCTCCAATCCTCTTCGGATATGTTGTTCGAGTATTCTATAAAATGGGCTAGGGTATATTGTACTCTTTTGTGGACTATCATTGTAGCTTTTTCCCCTTCAAACTATATCTACAACCCTAGTGTTGCCAGTGTATCTACGAACCTATTCTTTGCTCCATTTATGTACTAGAAGGTGTTGGTTAAGTCCTACAAGAGTTGGTTGATCAGGGTCCTGTAAGGTAAGAGTGAGATCTCTTTCATCACCATATCTTTTGGCTCTATATGCAATTCTTTTAATTCCCATTTCCTGGGTTAGGAGTCCTAATGCAATTGTCTCATACTCCACAACATTATGCAATCCTAGGAACTGTAGTTTGAAGGCTCTATCTATTTTCACACCTAGGGATGGCAGTTTTTCCCATTTCTCCGATCCCCATGGGGACCCGTCCCATGGGGATGATTTTCCTCCTACAGGGATGGGGATGGGGAAATTTTCATTCCCGTTAGCGGGGATAGGGAGAGCACTCCCCATCCCATAGGGACCCCGATCCCCGCCCCATGGGATCCCTACTAATGTATATGTATATCTGTATGCATGCATTATATATGTATATATGTACATATACATCTATATACTAATATTTTTAAAAATATGGTTGAATATGTTTCAATATTTTCTAATACGATTGTAAATTTTTGTTATTTTATTTTTATTTTTTAGATAAAATAAAAAACAAAAACAAAATGGCTAACATTATAAAAAATCATAGGGAGTGGGGATCCCCGTGGGGACGGGGATGGGGATAACCTTGTCTCTGTTAGTGGGGATGGGGAGAGGCTCGCTGTCCCTGCCCCACCCCATTGCCATTCCTATTCACACTGCCTAGAGATTGTAACACTACTCCTGCTCCTACTTCTAGGTCATGGCTCCATAAAAAAAATAGGCTACATCCTGCTTCTTCTATGAGTCGAACTACGGGTAGTTCTCTACATATATCTTCATTTATTTCTAGATTGTTTATGGTGGAGAACATTTCTAGAAGGTCCATGAGTTCCTAGGATTTTATTGCTTTAGGTGGTTTAACTTTATTGAAAATTCGCTGAGTTGCATCAACCATATAACTAATCATCCTAACAGGGTGGCCTCTCAACAAAATACTTTACTGGGTCATTTCTGCTTAGTAGGAAGGTCTCATGACCTGGTAAGTAGTGTCTGAACTTTCAGACCACAAATATTAAGGCTAAGCACTACTTCTCCATTTTTTAGTAGTTCAACTCAGTTTCCCTTAGTACTCTGCTACCATAATATATTGGTTTATTCTATGTGTTCCTCATTTTCTTAGGCCAGAAGGCAACATATGGCTTCAAGGTTGGCTATTATGTATACAAAGAATAGTTTTCCCTCTATGGGTGGACTTATTGTCTAGGCATTGATCAAGGTGTCCTTTATTCTTGTGAAGGCTCTCTCATGCTCCTCATTCAACTCAAAGGCTTTATTATTCTTGGTCAATTTCATCAAAGTTTTAGCTACTAAGGCTAGTCCGGGAATGAATCTTCTAAGGTATGATGTCTTCCCTAGGAAAGTCTTTAACTACTTCTCTATGGTTGGTGCTAATATGTCTAAGATGGCCTTAACTTTGGCTTCATCAGCGTGGATTCCTTTACTATCTACTCTACACCCCAAAAGCTTCTTGTCTATATTCTAAATGCACACTTCAATGGATTCAACCTGAGGTTATACTCTTTACATTTAGTGAATATCCTCTAACACTATTAGGTGGTCCTCCCTTTTTTGCCTGTGTAGCTATGCCATCTATATAACACTCAATCTCCTTATGGATCATATCGTAAAACATATAATCATAGCTCTCTAGTAGGTTGCTCTTGCATTATTCAATTCGAAAGGCATTACTTTGTAGTAAAAGTGTCCTATGGGAGTCCTGAAGGTTGTAAGTGGTGCATCTATTGGATTCATGAGTATCTCGTTCCCTATGGTGGAGTATAATAGTAGCTCTATGTTTGGAAAATGGAAACTTGTCTTTGGGGCATGCCTTATTAAGGTCCCGAAAATCAATGCAAAACCTACAAGGTTTTCGTTGTTATTGTATTAGGGAGGATTGTGTTGAGGATATGTTTAAAACCTGATTTATCCGTTCTATGCTGATACTATGTTGGTTAAACATCACAGATGTGCTATTGGCTTAATGAATCCTACTTTTAACAGCTTATCTATTTCTTCTTTTATTTTGAGCATGATGTTGGGGTGAAACACTCGCGGTGGTTGCTTTATTGGATGTGTTGTGGGTTCTATGTGCAAGGAGTGGGTTGTTAGCCCAAGGTTGAGCCCTAGTATTTCATTGTACGACCAAGCAAAAATGTCTTTAAACTCTTTTAATAGGTTAGTCAGTTCTACCTTTGTGTTTTAGTTAATTATGTGGAACTGAAAAGTAGTTCTTCTCCTCATCTGAATCTAAGATGCTGATTTCTTCTAGATTTTCCTAAAATACTTCTGTTGTCTCCTGGAATGTCCACAGGGCTAGTGGTTTCTCAGCCACGTACTCTATTGTCTCACTTGTGTCCTCATCTGCTAAGGTTGTTCTATTGTGCTCTCTAGTTGCATGCGTATTGTCATTGAATTTTGAGTACCATTTGTAAGACATTGTAGTAATATGCTTTATTCATAATGATATTTGTAGATACAATAAGTGCTTCTTGCATAGATTCAAAATATGACAAATAACTTTCTCATTTTGCATGAATTTTGACTATAGACATTTCTATGTAAAAAACCTATCATCTTTGATGAAATAAGTTGATGATAATAAAGGAATGGTAGAGATGAAAATTTTAGGGAACTAATTCTTGTGCATAAGGAGATGAAGATAACTTAAGTTATCATGTGATATCTTAATTAATCATATTAGTAATGGGCCTTAGGCCTATTTTCTTTAATGGTTCACTTCCCAAGGTGTTGCATGGCCACTTTGGGCCTGAATATTGTATGACATGGGACCCACAAAAGGTCTCATACAAG